TGGTGGTGAGGATGGTGACAATTTGATGGCAGGTCTAAGAGACACGAAATGTTAATATGTCGAAGAGAAAAACCAGACACCAAAGACTCCGAGTAAAGAGCATGAGCGCTGGATAATGCACTGTACTACAAGGAAAGCGGGGGATTTTGTATTTCTGAGCACAGTTGTGCTGGTGATGTCAGGCACATACTACTACAGTGTACTCCTGGAACAAGCCTTTCCTGGCCCTTAGAACAGGCTCCCACCCTCTCCTGAGCCAGCCTGCCCCCACCACTGAGGACAATCCTCAGGCCTGCTCTGCCAAAGGAAACTTGCCTCCGTGCCTTTCTGGTTTAGCAGTTTGCTATTTTCTGTGCAAAATTTGAATCAAGACAGAAAAAAAAAACAAAAGTCAATCTCTGACATAGTCTCTCTAGGGAATATGTGTTGGAGGTTTTCTTTTACAAGGCAAAAACAGGCAAATGTTTCTAATAGTAGTGGCTATTCAGGCTCTGAGGCCGTACTGCCTGTGTTGGAACCTCAGTCCTGACACTTACCAGCTGTATGATCTGGGTCAAGTTGCCACCTCTCATGATGCCTCAGTTTCTTCATATGAAAAATGGAGATAATATGGGGTTCCACCTTCTGGAGTTGTTGTTAGTCCACACAAAGCATTTAGAAGTGTGGCACACAGTGAACACAGCAGTAGATATTATTTGCCACTACTTGAGTATATCTTGTAGGTTCATAACTTTCAGATTTCATAAATCTGATCAAAATTAGGGCTTACATTCCCTTGTTGATTATGAGGTAGATGTTGAATTATGGAATTGTTCAATAGACTCTTCAACTCTCAAGAAATCAATGTAATGCAAGTAGTAACTATTTTATTGACATATTTACAAAATATTACAAACTGAAATACCATTCTAATTCACCATATTACACAATGGCTGCATACAGGCAAGACAAAGCATATGGAAGAAACGTTTACTTCTGTCTTTGGTATTAGAAATCTACACAAATCCGCAGCATTTAAAATTTCCAATACAAAGTATTAAACACAGACAAAGATGTAATTGGCAATGTCATGAAAAGGGGCTCTAATGTCCTCTGCTAGGAAACCCCCAGGTCTATGAAATGCAACAGGAAAACCAAACACCATTTGTAAGGGAGGGAGTCTCTTGGCTAAAATAACAATAAAAGAAACAATATAGGCTACAGTACTATACATAGGAGTATTTCAATTTGTGTGAAGTGACTTTCTCCGTAACATTTGGCTGACAGTAACAGACAAAACATTCCCAAGACACAGGATCGCAGGTAAGACTTCATAGGAAAGAATCCATTCTGAGAGTACACCTTGAGGGTATAACTTTACTGTACAGAACATTTTATAAAATTCATTTTTGTGATCATTTACACATATACAAAAACTTAACTGGTTTTAGCAAATAATTTTTCTAAAACACAATCACAGTTTACATAATTCTGAGGTAAAGGTCCTGAATCTATCTTGAGAAGTCCTAGCTCACGAGGGTCTCTGAAGGGGGATATGTCCTACTGAACATTAAGTTATGACATTAAAGTGGGTTGGGGAGAGGGCAGGTCACACCTACCTACCTCATTTCAGAGATGATCCAGAATTTCAGAACTGAATGTCCCTAGTTTGGCTCTATTAAATTAATGCTTCTCATATTTTGTTTGGTTGTCTTCAAACATGAAACACTCTGAATCTTGTCAGAACAAGACTTCTGCTACGGAGAAAATATTTCATCAGCAAAGGGCCAAGTTAGTGTCTTAACCTGACTGTCTTGACTAAGGACTCTGTATGTCCCAGGAAGAACATATTTAACCTCCTCACATAAAAAGTAAAGGCTTGGTCAAATGCACTGCAAAACAGATCTTCCCACCAGTAAGCAGACACCCCCAAGGGGCCTGCAGGTGGGAAGATCCTAGTAAAAGGCTGGGAGCCCACAGTGAATAAGACTAGAAAAGTCTTAGTGACCCTCCTGTCCCAGAAATGCATATAGGACCCAGCTGGGCTTCCCTTTCAAAATCCTCACCAAAGTTGTCTGTGCTACTGTAAATACTCCAGGAAAATGTGAGATTCAACAAATATGTCCTTTTTTATGGGGGGGGGGGAGCTTATGTTAATAGATGTTGCTTCCATAAAATGACTTACAATCAGTTATAGCCCTTGATCTGTTTCTGTAAACAATGCCACCTTTCCCAGGTTACTTGAAATTACCCAGAACATACCCAGCCAAGATTATTTCATAGAGTGAATTACACATTTCCAAAATAACTCTATGAAATCATGAAGGCTGTTTAAATTTAATATGAAGACACTCTTTTATGTACTTTTTTTATATGAAGAAGTTTGCAAATATAATCAGAACATCAAATGAATAATTAAAACCCCTCTGGGATATATCACTTATGAAGCAAACCTGAGCATTTGCCTCCTCTGTTTTATCATGAGTAACATCTGGGGGTAAAAGTGTCTGCCAGGTGATGAGTCACCTTGTGAGGCAATTTAAGACAAGGAGTGCTGGACCTTTCCCGGAAGCTGCCCAAAAAGCGAGACTCTGATTTTTCCTCATGCTGGGAAAAGCAAAATTAAACTTCTGCTTCTTTGTACCATCAAAGATTCTGGTGAATGGCACGTGAGAAGAAAGTAAATGTGTGTCCACCATTTACTGATAGCTGGCGTTCATGGTGCCTGACCACACATGGTAAAAAGAAATACAAACCAATGTGTTTGCAGGGCTCTTTTGGGGAAAAAAAAAAAAAGCTTTTGGCTGTGCCCTAGTCCCCGACAATGACAGACTGGCAGGCTGTTTCTTGCACAGCTCTAGGCAAGCCATTAATCTGTCAGTACCAGCATCTTTAGAAATCCCAGCATTAAGACTTAGGAGGGGAAAAGGAGGGAGGATGTTGAATAGCCAGAAATGTGGCTTTTTAAACACTTCAGTTAATTCACAATGCTGTGCAGGCTTCTGTTTATCCCTTCTCTGAAAGTTCTGGTGCAGGGTGTAACACTGGAGTGGAATTTATTCATCCTCTTCCACATACGTGGATGGAAACCAGCCCACCTAAAAAAGAAAAGCAACCAACATAGCAACATGACTTCACATCTGGCATTTCAAAGGGCTCTACAAATAGAGCATTTAGTTTTTATAACACCCCGATTAAACTGGGGTTTTATGGCCACTGTAGGTAAAGGAGATTGATTTAACTGCCCTAGAAGCCCGACAGAATGAGTGACGGAGACAGAGGAATAAAAGAAGCCTAAAGAGTGTTCTAATGTGCTAGCACACAGACAAATATGTAAATTAAGTGTACTAAGGGGCTCTACTATTTAACGCTTCCTATTTCTGCTATAGAACAGGATACAAAGGGTACTATGTCCCCATTCTTTCCAATTTAGATCAGCAGCTCTTATAAATATTCTATGTTCCACATAAAATTTATGCTCTGAGGCTTATGGACTAAAAAGAGCGGAAATGTTCCTGAATCCTTTTCCAAATAGGAAGCCATCAAACCTGCCTAGGTGAACTTTATTTATGCCACAATCATATTCATTCAACATCTTTTTCTTGAGTGTCTATTTTCAGTGAGGAACACCACCACTCTCCAGAGTCTTGGCTCTGTGGGGTGAAGGCTTCTCCCCAGCCCCACGGTGGGTGCCCATGACAGCCCGGTCCCCTTCCTTCACCCGCACAAGCACATCGAGAGGGACAGCTCACCCTGCCATTTACTTCTCCTCTCCACCAGCCATTTGCACTCATCTTCGTGTAAATCTTCACCACGTCTCCTTTCAGCAAGGACAATTCTCGCATGTCTCTGGCACAGAAGTCATACCGAGCAACGGCGATGCCCAGCACTTTCGGACTTAGCACTGGAAAGAAATGATGGTGAGTCAGCAGTGATCTGTGGTCCCACGACCACCAGAACCTAATCAGATGAATGTTATAGATGCAATCCAAATGCACAGCCATGATTTCACTACAGACTAGTGATAATGATGGAGGACCTTGAAAGCAGCAGAGTTGCTGTTTCAATTCAGTCTGGTGTGGTCAAGTTCATTTCAGGCAGTTTAAAGAACCGCTGTTCTGTTTCATTCTTCATCAGAACCCCAAAACAGGGACTAGCTTTTGTTAAAAAAAAGAAAAGAACCTAAAATTACCAGCATGCATTCCCTACGGATGGCACAATGATCTAACTAGAACCTCTAAGGTCAAAGGTTTACATTTTTATCTCATAATCTCTCCAACTAAGACTTAAAACAACCAAATGCTTTGCTTTGAAATTCTCCTATTGAATCCATGTCATTGTCATTACTTCCAGTTAAAAGGCTCTTCCTTCCCCAACCAGCCCTTTTTGGTTAAAACTTCTTGGGGACAAACTCAATTGTTGCTTCATATAGAGTTTCACTATGTGAAGAAGCTTCAGTCAAGTTTCACAGAAAGAATGCATAAACACCATCAATTTATCCTCTTTCTTTCAAACAAATACTGTAGGTACAGAAAACCTTTACTGAAGGAATGAAGTGCTAACTTACTCCTTGTCCTAACCCACCCTGCCCTGAAAGAAAAACTCTATTCAAGCTGTACATTTTTTCTTCTCTAGTGTTTTATAACACATTTCATATTAACTTCTCTACCTGTTGCTCCTTGGGGTTATAAAGTGTTTTCAATTATATGTGCAGTGATTCTGAGAATCACTCACCTGGGAACGGTAGGACTTTATAAACCTTAAATGGGAGAGGAACACAAGTGTAAGAAAAACAAATGGGAAATGCCATCCATCTGTATTTTTAACAGTTCCTGGTGCCCAGGCAGCTGCGGTTATGACCTGCATTACCCTGGAAGAGCTTGCCCACATGGAGATAGGGATCTCTAGCCTATTATTCAGGGCTCTGCAATGACAGGGTTTTTTTTTAGTCTCCAGGTGTCCATCATAAGATAAACGAATAGCAATGCTGTAGATTTCAGAACTGTAAAGGGAGTAAAAATGGGTCATTTTATTTTACTGTTCAGACACAAACCACTTTAATAGTTTTCTTACTGAAAACCGTCCCATTACCGGGGCGCTACTCTTAGAGTTGGCGCACATAAAGACACCCCTGTGACGGAAAAACCAATCGTCACCTTAACTGTGTGACCTTGCACAGGTCTTTTAACCCTTGAGGCCACACTTTTCTCACCTATAAAATGAAAACTCTATGCTAGATGACATCCAAGGTCTTTCTAGTACTAAATGTTATGATTCCATTGGGACTTACAGGTTAATTTTTAAAAATCTGTAAGAAAACATACTTGACCTAGCCATAATGTACTCCCCTACATGTCACATCAACAGCCATTAAATTCTCAGACTAATGACTGAAATCAAGACCAGAATGCCCACACACAAACTGATGGGCACAGTCATCCTTCCAAGCAACATGAAATATGTTTTACTTTTATATTTGGAGACAAAGTTGGGATTGGGTTCTATTTATTTTCTTAATGGGAATAAGTAAGCATTGGCTTTTCTCAGCTAAAATTTCTTCTGATCCTCAAGAAAACTAATGATTTTATAGAGTGCTTCATCTCCCGCTTTATACTTTCAGCCCTCAACCCTTTCCAACCTCTCCCCAAAAGACAAAACAAAAAATGTCTAACGGAAATACGTAACACGAGCACACACACAAAACCAGGAGAGTGAAATGTCATGACAGACGGTGACTATGACAGAGAAGAGGAAACTGCATGGTGGGAATGGGACTCTAGGGACTATTTGTGAGAAGATGCATCTACATGAGAAGCTACACATAGAAGTCAAAGTATTTTATTTGCAAACAGAAGCAAGTTGAAAAGACATATAAAAGCAGTAAAGCAGTACCTGACCAGAAAGGAGTAGAAGAAGGGGGAACAAAGCTGTAGTCTGGAGGAGTTACAAAAGAAAACCCACAGAACAAAGAAGGGGCTTAGAGAAAGAAAGAAAAAGAGAGAAGCAAAAGAGCATTTAGGTAATGGCAAAAAATCTCAACACGGCTATTTCGTTGTCTATAATCCTAAGAAAATGGTCACATCAAATTTGGAGTATTAAGCTTCACTTTCACCCACTTCTCTCCTATCACCATTTCTAAATGAAGGACAAGCCAGATTTTTACATTTTGATTGACACTAGTTCTGAAATTTAGAGCTATCCCTTTAGCGGTGAACACAGCATACCCACTCTACCATGGTGCCATCTTTGAACCCCTCCCATCCGAGGATGGCCTTCTTTTGAGGTGATACACAATTCCCACTTTGCTACACCAGTGGAAAAGAGGAGACTGTAAATTCTTAATGTAAAATATGCTTCACATCAAAACTGATATAAGCAAGTAAGAGCCTATAGAGTAGGGTCAAGGAAACATGCAGAGCCCATAGGAAAGTCAAGCAAACACTCATACAATTTGTTAGAAACCATCCCCAACCCCTAAGCAAGCATGCACATGCTAATTTATTACCACAAATAAAATGTAAATCGCTTCAAATCTTACCATACCTGGACAAGTAAATACATCCGGAAATTTTGGGAATGTATGGAAAAGTTCTATGCAAAAACTCTACCCTCAGAAGCTTTTTAGTTTACTTTTAATAATAAAAGCTAATAATCATCAAATGGTTCTGAAGTGTTAAATGTCCTGCTCAATGTTTTATATTCACTATTTAATTTAGCCATCACAACAATTCAAAGAGGAAGGTACTAATACCACTTTCCTTTGATATTTTTAGAACAACCTAGATTCAAACCTAGGCAATATGACTTTGGGGTCCAGGCTCATAACTGCTGCATTGCTCTGCATCTAGCACTCTGCTTTAGGTACCTCCATAAGCAGTTATAAAACTCTACCTGTCAATATCATGGTGCCATTGCAAAGGAAAAGAAAGGCATGGTTATAAATTTTCTTCCAATATTTATTCTCCCCCTTCATCCCTGCAATAGGTTATCTGGCCAGGCCAAGTTTGCCCAAAAGGAAGACTTCATCTCTCTGTCTTTATGCAGGTCTATGCAACTATATGACTAAGTTCTTGCCACTACGATATAATAAGCAAGGGTGTTGGAAGGTGGCCTGTGGTACCTTCCCTGGCAGGGCAGCTGGCACATGCATTCACCTTTCTTTTTGGTTGTTCATTCTACCCTGCTGTATGGAATTTACAAGCTACCATCTGGGTCCGTGAGAAGAAAGGCCTCGCTTTAAGGACAGTAGCTCATGAGCTTCAGGGAAGCTGGAGTTCTGAAGATTTTATGGAAGAGGTGACCTGCCCTTTCCCCCAGCCTTGGTCTGGCCACTTCCAGGTTTTTATGAGAATGAGAAATAAATGTCTATCCTGTTTAAGCCAATGTTTTCTCGGATTTCTGTTACTTGTACCTGGACCTAATCTAAACTGTAACAAAAGTTTCTATAACCGAGGAGGAGATGAAAGTGGGCTAAACAAACTGCAATGCGTCCATATGACCTTGCAATACAGATTGTCTCTTTCAGAACATTGACTGATTTGATAGCCACAGAATTCTCCCAAAGTTAATACTCTTGTCAGGAAGGGCTTCTTTGATACCTGGGAACAGTCGTAACTCATTAAGGGGATCCTCAGATCCTATTTAAGTAGACTGGCCGTGGGAATTGGAGGAGATTCAGTTGCTCTTGCAACCATGGACTATGGATCCCTCATATAAGACACTTTCCTCATGAATGTCCTTACATATTTACTTTTAACCTACCCTGAAGTATATCCTTGTTGATAATCAAGGCTCTCTTCTAATCCATTACATCTCCCACATTACATTATTTTTGTTTTAAAACTCAGTGATACATACCATTACAACTAATTTTACAATATGCTCAATTCATTTATTGCCATGCAACATAACTGGTTTAATTTCCTTGAGATGTTATACACACTATTAGAGACAAGAGGGGATGCCATCTCTAATGAGAAAAATGGCTCACATGTAACTGTATCTTGACAATCTGCAAGATTCCTATCCCATGTTTGTGAGAACTTAAATTAGAACCCCCATTCAACACATTCCTTCTGGCAGGTACTAGAATTTTCTCCTTGGACTGCTTTCTAAGTGTCCATCCTTCACTATCTCTCTGGGACTATTTATCCATAAAGTAATAAAAGAAGACTGCATTTCTCCAAAATTTCTAATGAAGATAATTTAAGTCAGCAGTCTGAACTATAACAAGAGATAAGTTAGCTCTAGAAGGAAGATATAAGAAATCAATGAAAACACAATTAAATGAAATTTAAATAATCTCAATAGGTAGATACATTAGATCAGATAACCTGTCTCTAATTTAAAAATATCTAACATTCCTGAAATGATATGGATAATGCCTCACTATGCAGAGTGAACTTGAATCTGTTTCAGATACACAGTATCAGTGTGCTACCTTCTCTCTTATCTAACCCTCAAAGCCTTATAAGCACTGGCACTCATGTCAAATAGCTACAGTTGGAATCTTCCTCAATCTTATCTAAAATATTATAATCTTAGCTGAATGGTAGCTATTCCCCCAGGGTTAGGCCTTGGCTCCTCTACTGGCTTCAATGGGAACTAATTTTTTTCCCCAGTGAAGGGAACAAACAGATTTTAAGATATGCCTTGGCTCCTCATCTGAATTCCAGTCTGTGATTTCAGATATTTTCATGACACTGCCATGAAGGACAACCACTATCTCCGATGCAACCTGCCTGAAACCAAAGTCATGATCCCCCTCCCCATAACCTAGCTCAACCCTCCACATTTTTTTTTCAATGACTCTTGTGTTCTTTGCAAACTACCCTTGCAAAGTCAGTATGCTTTTTGCCTCTTCCTGTTCACTCTCTTCTTCCTCCAAAATACGAAGTTATTCCT